GCTCCCTTCAGCTCCAGAATGTATCAGCTATCCGTGTGCTGTCTGAGCTTCACAGTGTTCCTGCAGTGCTGGAGGGATGCTGACTGCATCACTGAGCAGTTAGTTTTAAAATCAAAAGCAGCTACATGCATTCCGGGACTCCAGGGTACCTGGAGGTGACCACGGCTGTTCTGTTGTTGACCCATCAGGGCAGAAGACTGCGAGACATCAGTTTCTGTTACCTGCGGTTTTCATCTTTGTCACCGTAATCGCAGTTCGGGTGCTGAGTGTTTGTTTTTTCTCGATGAGTCGGCTGGGTGCAGGAGCTGTGGTCTTGCGCTGAAAGGCCGAGAGAAAGTGGTGTTTCAGTCCTCAGGTGTGCGTGCGTGGGAGGGGCAGGTGAGGGACAGGACAGGTGAGACTGGAGGCACAGGTGAAGGGGCAAGGTGGGAGTTGCCTGGATTTAGGAAGAGACCAGCCCACCTGCAGGGCTGGGGGTGTGGAGCCAGTCTGAGGGTCACGGTGAGGTTGTGGTCGGGACAGGAGAACTGGGGGGCCTCTTGGATCCCCTTTGTTCTGACCCGTTCCCTGAAACGGTCAGCCAGTCCTCCTCCTGTCCTCTGATGTAAGGAGAGAGATGGCTGGACGAGCGTGGTGCCTTCTGGGGGCTCCTGAAGAGACCGGGGTGGAGGGGGGCTGTGTGTGTGTGAGGGTACAAGGAGACTGGACTAGATGGACATGAGGGTCAGGGGGTGGTGGGCAGTATACTGGTCATCACCAGTGAGTCTGGAATAAAGGTTCCAGGTGAAAGGTCAGTCTGTAAGAGTGTGGGCTGATGATCTGGTGATGATCAGACGCACGTGTTGAGGTGGAAGTCGGGGGGGTATCTGGGCTGCACGCGGTGATGTTTTCAGGATGTTCCTGGCTCAGTGGCGTGGGAAGAATATCCGTCGGTAAAAGACGATCGCGTTTTTATAGGCCCTGAGAGAGTCTTAAATCCCAGGTGAGCCTGCGGCCTGCTGATTTTAAAGGTGGCTCCTTGCTCTTTCTGACAGCTCGGCGGGCTATCCCAGCAGTCCCTGCAGTCCGCACGCTGGATTAGCCTGCTACCTAGGTAATCGCTTTCAGAGGAAGTCCTGTCTGACCCAGTTCCCTGACACACAAGCGATAATCTGGATTAGGAAGTATCATGTCACCTTGCACTTCTACATACTTAATGCATGTTAGTGTTGTGTTTGTGTCCTTAACCGTCTTAAAAGTTGTGATAAGCCGGGTGTTGTTAGGACAGCTGATCTAGGAAGGGTATATTCAGTCCCAGGTTAGCCCTCCAGAGACTGTAGAGCTCTGCTGCTCAAAACTGAGACTGGTGTGGCTGTTTTTAATGTCGGACATGTCCAACGATCCCAATGCGGTCCGGGCCCTCTCCGGGTCAGCCTGCCCAGCCTTACACCCGGCCTGGCTTGGGCCAGCAGCCCCTGCAGGGTCCCTGCATTCTCAGTAGTGGTGGAGAGGCCAGCACACCGTAAACCCAGCGTGAGGGTGCCTATGCGTGTGTATATCTGTACATGCGAGGGGGCGGTGTGTGTGTGTGAGAGGTGGGAGCTTGT